ACTACAGCGTAGGGATCATTCCCGCTAATAGCGATCTGTGAGTTTATTGCAAAAACGCATGATCGCACAGGGAGCCTGGTGCGTTCCAGCCTGGGTTGCTATTTGCATATAGGCAAAAACGCATAAAAATCCAAGTATGCAAATGAACTAAATGTTCCTTTTTATGCGTTTTTGCATATATGCAAATTGCAAAATATTGGGAAGAGGCTGTCTGTGTGTGTATGTGTGTCTGTCCGTTCGTACTTTTCGTCACCTACTTTAAATCTGAGAACCAGAAAAGCTAGAAGGCTGAAACTTTGAGGGTATGTGCGACCCTCCAATTTTAATATCATCCTCCGCGGGCGCCTGGGTGTCGCGTACGGATGCTTTAAAGAAATGAACAAATTATTTTTGGCGAGAAAGCGGCCTCGGGAACCAGACAAGGTACGGGGCAGAATGTTTTTAGGGATATTCCCTGTTCATGTGTTAGCTAAAGGTTTCAAATTAAGTTCTCAGCTACGCATTGTACTCACGTAAAGGTGTATGAAATTTTTTGCGGGAAAATTTCTAACTCAAGAACCAGAAGAGCTAGAAAACTAAATTTTAGGGAAATGTTCCATGCCCAGGTACAACTTAAGTATTTCAAATTCAGCCTTGGGGTATGCGTGGTTCTTAAGTACGGACAATTAAAAGTTTTGGTGAAAAAATTTCTCAGTGAACAACCAGATTACGTTTAAAGAACGACCGTTATATAGAAATTGTACATTTACTTTATGCAAAATTTTTGGGAATTATGCGTTTTTGCGTAATATGCAAAACACATATTGTGACGACCCCGGTTTGCGTGCGTGTGTGTATGTGTGTGTGTTTGTGTCTGTGTGTGTCTGTGTGTGTGTGTGTGTGAGTGTGTGTGTGCGCATCTGTCCGGGTATTTCAACTCGGCACCCAAATAAGCTCCGGTGCCAAAATTTTGGGAGTGGGTTCTCCGGCCAAGTGCCACCCCATGACCGCGGTACCAACCCTCAAGCACGTCTAGGCCCCGCGTGCGAACGCCTCAAAGCTGTGGCGGGAAAATCGCTAACTCGAGAACCAGAAAAGCTAGAAAGCTGAAATTTTGGGATTAAGTTCCTAGTCCAAGTAGAACTCAAAGATTTCAAATTCAGCCCCCGGGGATTCGTAATTTCCGCTTACGGCCCCGTGAGGGTTCCTGGCGCGAAAATCGCTAGCTCGGGAACCAAGAAAGCTAGGAGGCTGAAACTTTCAGGAAATGTTCCCAACTCATCCACAACTTAAATTTGTCAAATTAAGACCCCCGTTATGCATGGTTCCCGCCTACCACCCGGTGAAAGCTTTTGGTGGGAAAATGGCTAATTCCGGAACCAGAGAAGCTGGGAGGCTGAAACTTTCAGGAAATGTCTTCAACTCATCTACAACTTAAATTTACCAAATTCAGCACTTCATTATGAGTGGTTGCCACGTACGGCCCGTGAAATTTTCTGGCTGGAATTTGGGTAGCTAGGGGATTGAGAAAGTTGGGAACCTGGGATTTC